TCCTTTTACCTGCAATGTCCTTCTCTTTCCTCTCTTGCTAACCAACTCCTATGTACACTGCAAGGCCTAACTCACTTTCTCCCTCTTCCATGAAGCTTTTCCAATTACAGCTGGTCCTCAGATAACATTGTTTCACTCTGATGTTGATCACATGCCTAGGAACTTAACTCTGGCTTATGTCAACTAGCCTGTGGTAAAATTGGTTTAGTTATATGTCGTTTCACTTAAAAGTTGCAAAACCTATTAACACCCTGACCAGTTTGGCTCAGCTGCACACTGTCCCACAAAGCAAAATGTCACTGGTTTGATTCCCTGCCAGGGCACAAGCCTGGGTTGCGGGTTTGGTCCCTTGTCCAGGTGTGTACAAGCAGCAATCGACTGATGTTTTTCTCCCCCACATTCCTCCCTCCCTTTCCCTCTCTCCAAAAATAAATAAAATCTTGGGGGGAAAACCCTATCGATGACATTGAGGACCTACTGTACTTCAACTCGTCTGAAGTCAGAGCGCTAACCATTTGAGCTACTAACTCGGCACAATACCCTGTGACATACTTTGTATTGTTTTTTAAGTTTCCATATGTGCCATCTTACTTGAGTGTATGAGCCACATTTTGTATTGCTTTGTCCCTCCTGAAGTACCTGGCACTCGTAGACATAGTTTATTTTACACACAGCAGGCCAGATGACACCAATCAGTGTAGCAATTGGGGGTCCAACGTGGCATTAGGGAGAAATACTGTAACCTCATCAATGACTTTACCCAGCATAAGAATGCATTTAAATTCCCCAAATTCTTCTCTTTCAAAAAAGTATATGTACATCTGTGACCAACTTTGTAACAGAAAAAAGGCCAATTTCCCAACATGAAATCTTCCTGGTTCATTAGACCTATCTATTTAACTGAAGAGCCCTTTTGCTGGAAAATTTTATGTAGTTAACAATTCACGTGTCTCTGAAACCAAATGGCCACAAGTGCCCAAGAAGTCCAAAAGTGAGGATGTCCTCTTTGGGGAGAAAAACACCCAGTTTTCCAGTGCTAATTTTTAACCTGCGAATCTGTCTTCCTGGAGGCTCTGTACTTCTCTTGCACATAAAATTTCTTTAGGTTACATGAATTTGGGGGTAACCTGTGATAAATTAACACAGCATGAAGACTTAGAAGAAACATGGTGTAAAAACATGATAAGGACCAACTGGCTCTAACAAGTTCAGATGGTCTTTGCGAGAATGTGCATGAAGACGTCATGCTGTGATCTGAGGGGAACCTCAGCCTTGCGGTGGACACGTTCTGGACAGCAGCCGAGCTCGGGCTGCTTTGGTTGCCCAGACAGTTGCGGGTTTGGCACATCCGCAGAGTGAGAGCTGGAGAAAGCTGGTTGAAAGTGAAGCAGTGGGAGGGTGGAACCTGGAGGAAGAGTGCCGTGTCCAGAAGCTACCGGAGGCTGTGTCAGCACGTCTCCAACTCCAACCGCTCCAGCACCTGATGACCTGGCAAAAAACCCCGCTGGGAGACAGGAACTGCTGGGAGGTGAGCAGGAAAGGAAGACACTACCGGGGAGGAGTTACAGGGAGACCCTGAAGGTGGACAGACAGAGGACAGGCACAGCTGAGAACGAGAAGTCACACAAAGCAGCATGACAGATCCGAGAAAATACAAGAAAAATTTGGTACGATGGAGGAAGCATCTGAGAGAAGGCAACAGAGCGGCCAACTACGTAAACAAAATCTCACCAAAATGGAAACTTGGCATTTTGAGGGCTTACTGTTTTCAACTTTCTTCTTTGAGGAGCTTAGAGGACATTGACAGCTGTCAATTACGCAGGGCTTCCTGTGCCAGGCACTGTTCTAAGTGCTTGTCATGCATTACCATATTTAGTGGCTGCCACAGCCAGTAGGGTAGCAATTATCCTTATTTTACAGATAGGAAAACTAAGGCACAGAGAGGTTAAGAAACTTGCCCAAGGTTACACAGCTTATTGGAGGAAGAGCTGAGATTTGAACCCAAGTAGCCTGTCCCCATATGCTAAATGGCCAGCACATGAGATGCAAGTGCCCGAGGCTGGGGCGTGGGGGTCACCAGGACGGGCACGGCCAGCACCACTGCCGCCTCACCCTGCCTCATGACCGGGGAAAGCGGCTTCCTGAGATCATCATGTGTGTGCCTACGAGCGCTGGGGGTGCTGCTAAAGAGGCACCCTTTTTTTTTTTCACCCTTCCCCCCGCCCCCCCCAGGAAAGTATTTCCCTCCAAGAAAGCCGACTGTGAGAACTCGAGATGGAAGGAAAGATGGGATTTGCCTGAATTCATTGCTGGATAAAAGCATGGAATGCTGACTTTGACCAGCTCTATGATATGAACTTGTCCACTAGACATTTTATATAAAACAAGCACAGTATTTGAGAATCTAGAGATTTGGGGTGCTCTCAGGATCTTTTCATCATGGGTGTCAAAGGTTTGCTATAATCACCCAGAGATAATGGTCTAGTGTTGGGATTAAAAAAACCCAAGTTCAAATCTCAGCTCTTCTGCTGGTGAGGAACCTACTTTCAGTTTCCCTCATCTATAAAATGAAGATGGCATCAGATTATTTAAACACAAATTTCAAACCTTCCTTCTTTCTGCACATCTATTTTTTGTTGATATGAATTCCTGATGATGCGTTATGTGCAATAACATGATTCTCCACAAAATGTGTATTCTCATTCACCTTAGAATTTACCAGATACCAGACTAGCTGCACAGAAAAGGAAATACACATCGATGAGATGTATCAAATAACTACTGCAAAATTTTCTGATAGCAGATATGTTTAACTTTCTCGCCCTTCCGTTAGAAAAGGGTAAAAACTATCATAGTAATATTTGGAAAATTACTGAGGCCCACAGTCTTAACGGTTGGGAAGGCCAAGCTCACGTGCATCACTTATGACAAGTTTATCCAACTGGGTCCAGAGACTGGGTGAGTCACAGTCTTCCCCAATCCACTACGGTCACGACTTGCTTCTCTAAACACAGAAGGCTTCCCTGCTGCTTCTGGGCTCTCCAAGGGAAAGGGGGGACTACAGGGATCAGAAACGGTGGACACAAGTGATGTTTGGAATCCCACACTGAATCCAGAACTAACAAATCCATAGAAGAAAGGCAGCAGGCTTTGCCAGGCCATAAATTCATTACCTTTAATGGCCAGGCTTAGGGTAAAAGCAAATAGACATGCTAGCGCTTCCCTATCTGCTGCTTTCATTTTGGTATTTAGCACCAGAGTTAAAATCACTTTTAATCAGCAAGAAAGGCAGTTGCTTTTAAAACAGTAACATGCTGGAAAGAGAATGTCCCTTGATATTGGAGGGAATTTGAACTTTGGCCCAGGTCGTAGAATAATCCTACATGTGCCTGTCTGGAATAAACTGCAAATCTTTTTTCGTCCCCTTTAAATCAATAAGCTAAAGTTCTCCAAAGGTTAACAGGAATGATTCTACCCACCATCCTTTCTTTTAAAAGATTACTGTGTAGGGTTAACATTCACCACTTTAATACATGAAGAAAACTGAACACAGCAAGCTTTTACAACTAGGGAATTCTAATTCTAAAGTATATTGTACTTTGAAGTGGATGGAATTTTCTTGGGATTGGTTTTCTGTAAATCAAGGTAAACACATAATAAGACTGCAAATTTTCTGGGGAATCTATTCTCAAATATACAATGTATAGTTTGGCACATGGCATTTTGCAGACTTTTCTATTTGTTAAAAGTCAATGACAATTTTAGAGGTGCAAAAAAACCCCCAAAACACCTTTCTCTATAACATTGCTAAATTTTCATTAATTCTAAGTTTGAAACAATAGATTTTGGGTTGTGTTTCCACCAGTTAAGAGGACCAGAGCTCATTTTTGGAAGAGCACAAACTTACTCTGTACTTCCCTTCCCATTCAGAATTGCCTGTCCCTGTTCCCTGTGGTTCCTCTTATTAAGTTAAAATGGGGGCCTTAGGAGCAGCTCCCAAGTCCTGGGACCTCACACACAAATATGGCACAAGTGACAGCACACAAGATGATGTTTACAAACGACTCCATTTTTTAACACACTGAGGTAGATTTAATGTTAACTATATGTGAGCAGTACTTTTGCTTATTCTAACATAACTTCGTAAATGGAGGATGATGCTAACATATGAACTGGTTGACCACGCACCCGTGATACAGTGATGGCAACTGTGAACTTTTCTAGTGCGTTGCCTGTACCCTCCCCTGCTCCAAATATTTTGGGATTCAGTAGAAATCTAAGTTGTCCCTTGGGACTGTGTGATGTATACTATCATACAATATGCACACCGTGACAGGAGAAGCTATAGACTCGCTGGAACATCTGATTCTGAGGATAGGCCCTATACAAATAATCTAAAAGGAAAAAAAAACCCCAACGTTGGCACAATAAAGATGTTTGCTTCAGTGCGATGTACGATCACACGAGCTTGAAAACGGCCACTGTGACAACACCGACAGCATGTTTCTAAAAGCCCCATCTTTGGGAAGGAACAGTATGGGGTCATTGAAAAAACAGGAATTTTGAAGATATAGCAACATGGAAATGCTCATGAAATAACAGTTAACTGTATGTTCTGATTATAACCTCATGCAAGTGTCTATTCAAATTAGAATGGGACTCAGAAAAAGTAAAGAAACACATAATATATTATACTAGGATAGTGGAGTATAAATGATCCTCCCTCCTTGCTACCCTCCTCGGTCTACCATTTTAAAAGCTTGCTTTAGAATTTCCTTAATTTTGAAAAACAATGTAAAGGTTTCTACAGTGAATTAAATTTTTTTTTCAAAGCAGTCAAGCAGGACGGGACAAAAGAAACCAACCTAGTCTAGCGGTCATGGACCTTCCTGATGGCTGGCTGGGTCACGCTGGGGGCCCAAAATAGTAACCGATGAATCTGTTAAAACACTGGCTACAATACTCACACTGATCTCAAGACAAGTCATTTGAAAAAAAAAAAAAAAAAAAGAGAGAGAGAAAGAATGAAACTTGCCCGGTGTATCTTGTGGTCTGGAGCTTATCGTCCTATCTGTGGCTGTGGGTATGTGAGTATGTTTGCATGTGTTTCTTTTTTCCAACATTATCAGCATGAGAACAACTAGAAATATGCTGTAGATTTTTTCAGAAGTCAGCGACAGCTGTGACAGCTACAGGGTTTCATTTAGAGACACTGACACTGCACATTTCAGTACGTATCAGACTCAAAGGTTAAAATATGTACATATTGTTCTTCAGCATGAAATCTAAGCAAAGACCATAACTCTTGACAGTACCAAAATGTTGCATTTCTGATTTTTCCAAGTGATTGTACTCTCTGCACAACTTTGTGCTTTTTCTATAACACAAATAAGCAAACAAAAAGTCAGGCATCTAATTAAAAAATGCATCCATTTCATTTGCAGAGTCCAAGACAAAGCAGAACAGGCAGCCGCATTCAAGGAAGATCTGAACACACAGCGGAGATGCATCTGTTTCCCGTAGAGCTGATAGTCACACACGCAGATGTCTATCACTCAAGTCCTCTGACATCTCAAAATTACTGCCTGAGACGAACGAGGGCTGCGGATCACAATGTCCTTAAATTTCCCCAAATTTGACAACATTGAGAGGACTGGCGAGCGTATCCCCATTTAAGAAAGGTTGTATTTCTAGGTGACACATCTTTCTGGAGTACATTTGGCTATATTTAGTAAAGTGCTGATTAACCCTTCTTGATCTTTTCTCCTGACAAGAAGTGAAAGATCCTTGTATTTTATAAATCTTGAGCACATTAGAATTTGTGAAGGCGAAAGACTAATGAAAAACAAAAGAGAAAAACAAAGCCAAAAATCATAAATCCTTCCTGACTCGAAGGCATTCCTCCCTTATCCCTGAGAGAAACCCGTTCCCGCACATCTTGTTTGCATTTAACTTCTGAGGTTCATCTTGTTCCATCTCTAGAACAAGCCGGGCGTCAGGGTATAAAGATATGACTACATGAATAAAAACACATGACCACTGTGGCCGCTGCACATACAACAAGATGAGACAGAAAAATATTAACTGTCAGGTGACATGACACTTGGATACACATGTTTCTGTATTTTGTCATGTATGTGCAATTGGAAAGCTACTGGAAGGATCTGAATTCTCCTTCCCCTGCTATTGCAAAACAAGGAGACAGAATCAGGAAAAGCTAATGCTCTATGAGCAGCATAATGGCATTACTTTCCACTTCTAGAATATCTGCCAAAAGAAAAAGCGTCTGACACATTAGGGCTATACAATACGTTTGCAGCTCGACAAGGCCCCCGCTAACACAACGCCAGGCTCTTCCGAGAAGGTGCCTTGCACAGATGCTGGGTTTCAGTTTAACTTGGGGAAAAAAGTACTGCTTTTTATTTTATCCCCACCCAGTTTTTCTTACACCAGCCTTCCATGATTTACACTATTTTTATTGCAAATAGAGTAATGAAACCTCACTTTGTGCCGACTGAAGCGGTGAAGAGGGAATTGGAGCGGTTTGGCGATGGATGGAGGTGAAGAGTGAGTTGCAAAATTCTATTCCTGTCACAAGTGAGGAAAACACAATTCGAGGTTGACCCTGGACACGGTCAAGGTGGTGGGGGTGGGAACTCCTGGAAGGCAAGGGCGCGCATGGCGTATGGAATGTGGCCGTGCCTGTAAGGAGATGAAGTCCATAAACTGCATTATCCCTTTTCTGAGCTGCTGTAAATACAGAGAGGCAGTGTGACACAACTCTGCCACAGTCGTGACTGGTGGCCAAGCCTCTCTGGTGGGAAAGCCAGGTTTGTTTTCACGCTTTTATATTAGTTGAAACTTTTGAATAAACAAAATTCTTAGGAAACTCTCAAGGGACGGTCCTGACTGGCTGGCCTTCCCAGGGCGACCTGCTTGGAAAGTGCTCTCCAGTTCTTAATTCCTTTGGAGGTCTGGGATTCTGACCGGGTAACTTGCAAAGCAGCAGGACAAGCAGCAAAGATAAAGCGGTGCCTTAACCTTCCCGAGGCGTAAGCTGAGACCAGACGACTGCCTGGGACGCCAGGTTGACAAGATGGTGCGGATGGCGCCACTCCTTATAGATCGAAGGAACTGGGTTAGTCAGGGGCCACAGGGAACCTCTTCTAATCTAAGAGGTTCCAAAAGGTCCAGCTTCCATTTCTTATCACAGTCTTTCACCGGAGACTTCTGTTCATTTTGAGAGGATGGGAGGAAGTGGGGGCTGGACTGAGTGGTGTTGAAAGCAGAGAGGAACAGAAATCATCCAGAACCCTGCTCTCTGTTTTCCCACCCTCTTACATCTGGTTCCTTACTCTTATAGCTTTTGTGATTTTCACAGACTGATCACAAATGATAAAAAGGAAAGAACAAATCTGCACATAAGATCTTTATTCCTCAGCAGCCACACGAATGTTTGTCTAGTCATTCAGTTTTAAACAAGGGACTCTATACTTTTATATGACTGACTTAATAATTGTTCTATGGGGACTGAGGCCATAAATCTGGGCTTCAATCTGGATTTCATATTTGGTAACCTTTTGGAAGAAATTCCAGAAGACAGCTTGCAATGTACACCCTTCCTTCACGTGTTGAAAAGATCTAGCACTGTTCTATGTCACGACCCTGCTCCATGACAGACAGATTCATCACACTGGTCATTCATAAACACCAGGTACTGATGTTTTCCTTAATATTTAATTGGCAAGAGTTTGTAAAATGGTAATTCTTAATGCCTGCAAGGAAATAGTGAAACAATATTCTTGTTCACCTCTGGTAAGAATGGAAATAACTACATCCTTTATGGAAATAATTTGAAAATCTGTATCAGTTTTAAAGCGTTCACACTCTTGAATCTCAGTTCTAGAGACATGTCAGAGGGAATCACAGCATCATTTATAACAGTGAAACATGAAAACTAATCCAATGACCAACACAGGAAATAGATGAATAAGTTCCAGGCACTAATGCTGACAAATGATTATTTAAAAAAATATTTAGAGACCAAAAAACCCCCCTCATACTATAATTAAGAAAAGTAGATGACTATATTCTATATATGATTCTGGAAAAATATGCAGAAAAGAAACTAGAAGGAAATACTCAGAAATAGTAACCATAGTTAACTCTACAGGGAAAGATTTAAGTATTCTCATTGTCCTCTTTATTTTGCCAAATTTCCAAAATGAGATACTTTTGTGAAGAGAAAATTTTAATAAGACAGGGAATCATACAGATGAAAATTATAACAATATGTTTTTGATTGCTAATTTGTTTTTACAGTTCTAAAATACAGCATCTATATATTGCACTCTGCGTTCGCCACCCCAAGCCGTGCCTCCTTCCGTTACCGCGCATCCCCTTTCCCCTCGCTTACCTCTCCCGACCCATTTAAATTTTTCAAGATGGCGAAGAGTCAAAAAAATCTTAATTCCCACTGTGGGTAAGGAATAACAAAACTTAGACATCCTACACTGGAACCTGTTTCTGGAGGATACTTTGGTGAAATATATAAAAATATTTGCCTCTGTCCATCTTTAGACTCAGCAATTCCCCAGTGGAAATTTATCCTAAGGGAGTAACTGGACAAGTGTGCAAAGAAATGTTCACATAGCTTGTTTATTGTTGTATTGTTTATACATCAAGATTTGAAAATGAAAGCTAACTGCTCACCAAGAAAAGGTTGTTAAATAAATGTATAGTAACCCCATTTGTAAGTTAATATGCAACCACTAGGTTAATAATAAATGCAGCTACTTATCATCAATGTAAAAATAGTTCCAAAATGAAACTTGTTTTAAAAAGGGGATTATAATAATGAAGTATAAAGTGTGGCGTGGGTGTGTGGGTGTGTGGGTGTGTGTGGGGGGGGTGTGTGTGTGTTCTTCCCGCCCTATGCATGTGTACACACACACTCACGCAAATGTCATTATGGAAATATTTATACATTAATAAATGGAGGGAGGAAGGAAAAAGAAAAAGGAAAGAGAATAGAGCCCACAAAATCCTGGAAGGACATAGGCCAAAATATTGAGTGGTATTTCCTGTGCATCGTGATGGAAATACAGGTGATTTTAATTTCTCTTTTATATCTTTCATTGATATATGAATCATTAATAATGAGCATGCATTGTTCACAGCATTTACATTTTCAAAATGATTTCAAGAATACTGCAACAAAACTTTATTAATTCATCCTCAGCTGGAGACCCCAAAGCTACCGACCACAGGCGAAGCCTTTCTCTGCTCCTCCCCGTGGTGCTTCAGCCCGCAGAGGGAATGCTATCCTGGATTTCGCAATTCTCCGTTCCATACACTCTTTACACTTTTATTATAGACATATGTATACCTCAGCACATTGCTTTTATCCTCAAAAAAAAAAAAAAAAAAAAACACACACACACACACAAAACCCCAACCAAAAACACAAAGCCTGTTTTCATTTTTGAAAAGAAAAATCTGACACAGCTGTGGCCTCTTTATGGCTGTGCGCTGTCAAAGCTACCAGCAGACGAAGGTACAGACAAAAGCACCTGGGAGAGCCTAGGGCAGAGGCTATGGGCCACCTGCCCCCTGTCTGGCCGCATCCACCCGAGGCCTTAGCAGGAAGGGGCTCAGGGACCCCTGCAGCATTCTCTCCTTGGGCATAGGAAGGAAAAATAGAAGACACCCCCCCACCCCAGTCTCCTGACTGCCTGCTCCTTCATATGGTGGTAAAAGAGGGATTCGACGGACTCATACATTCATTTTAAAGACATGGACTAACAAGTTTACCAGTGTTATCTGTGGATTCACATTGGCCAAACTACCTATTATCACACAGCAATCTAGAAAACACATAAATGAAGCAGCAAAAATTTAAAAATGCTTTCTCTACTATCATTCTTAAGTGTGTGAGGATAAACACTTGAAGGGACACATTAAAGAGTCTAAGTGATGAAATCTAAATGCTATTTCTTTCAATGGTTTATTCCTATTATTTCAGCATTTTCATATAGCAAAAATAAAGAGGTATGATAGATCAAAAGTAAATTGCTCTAAGTACCACTGTACAACCACTGGAATAACCGAACTTGAAATGACTGACAACACAGAGTGCTGGTGAGAACTCGAACAGCTAGCAGTCGCGTGCCTCGCCGGCAGGAGAGCAGTGTGGTTCAACCACCTTCAAAACCAGTTTGGCTGTTTCTAACTGCTAAATACACCCCTATACCATACCCCAGTGTTTCCAATTCTAGAGAAGTGAATGCTAGGCTCAGAAGAGACTGGTACAAGAATGTTTACAGACTAACAGCCAAACACTGAATAGGAAAATGGATAAATTTGGTAATCCATATTGAACAGAAAAACCCTGATACAAATGGAAATTAAATGGAAGACCACTTGAAATTTCTGATTAACTTGCTGTTCTATAAGTTGTACTTATTCTATGCATAACAGAATGAGTTCCCTAATTCACAGTCCACATAATAAACTTATTAACAGATGGGAGAGACGAGAGCCAGAAAGCTGTTATTTTGAAGATGGGGAAAAAAGAGGCTTGTATCAGGTAGAATTCCAGAGCTAGGATCTGACTTGTTTTGTATTTGACATCTTTTAGGGGCTATAAAGATGTTGTGGGACCTAGGGGATCAGAAATTGAAGGGTGTACAATAGTTTTTCAAGTTTGAATTAAGGTTTCTCTGATACTATATTCAAATATGTACATGTCCCTTTAAAATTCTAGAAAATAAGACC